CTGAGCTCAGTGCCGTGTGATCGCTGTCGATAGATCAGGGCCAGTGATGATGAGCTGGTGTAGGGCTGAGCTCAGTCAGTGCTGTGTGATCGCTGTGGATAGATCAGAGCCAGTGATGATGAGCTGGTGTAGGGCTGAGCTCAGTCAGTGCTGTGTGATCGCTGTCGATAGATCAGAGCCAGTGATGATGAGCTGGTTTAGGACTGAGCTCAGTCAGTGCTGTGTGATCGCCGTCGATAGATCAGAGCCAGTGATGATGAGCTGGTGTGGGGCTGAGCTCAGTCAGTGCTGTGTGATCGCCGTCGATAGATCAGAGCCAGTGATGATGAGCTGGTGTAGGGCTGAGCTCAGTCAGTGGTGTGTGATCGCCGTCGATAGATCAGAACCATTTTTATTAATTGTATAACTTCAGCAGAGCTTTTTGACTACCTTCTAGCCAGACAGTCTGAATCAGTGACTTTTGTGGGCGTTTGACTGGAAATCTGCCTGAGTTGCGGTCTGCATTGCCTGGTGTCAGTGTCGTGTGTTCTGCGCTGTGTTGTGCTGTGGCACTGTTGGGGTCACGGGCTCTGCGCTGTGTGCAGTTTTGAGGTCCCGTGGTTGGCACTGTGCGGGGTGTTGGGGTCATGGGGTGGGTGCAGTAGAGAAAACCTCAGACCCACCAGTGGTACTGTTGGATCTTTACTCTTTCATAGCTGCAGCTATCAAAATGGTCTCTTCAAAGCACAGATGCATGAATGGTAGAAGGACTTTTCCCCAACACAGTCTATCTTGTGTTGCTGACAGGCCCCTACACCATCCAGGGCCAGAGGGTGAGGGTGTACCAGCCAGAGTTCGAGGAGCCCTGGGCGCCGGGGCTGGTGTCCCAGCACGACCCCCTCTCCCACATCATGGAGATCACCATGAGCCAGGTAGGACACCATTCCACTGCAGGCCATCCACTCCGGGCTTTACTGAGAGCTGCACAGGATGTCAGATCTGTTTCCCATTCCACTGCAGGCCATCCACTCCAGGCTTTACTTAGAGCCGCTCAGACTCCTGTGGAGGGACATGTGGAGCCCCTGTTAGCTGTGCCATTAGAAAATGAGCAACCCAAGCCACTGATCTTTGACTTCCATTTAGAAAGAACTGCAGGACACCAGGCCAAGCTCCCAATGCACAGCAGTCAGAGCCATCCCAGGCTTTACTGAGAGCATCGCTCTTTCTCTCTCTGCGCAGGGTGAGGAGACCCAGGTAGTTGACCCCCGGGTGCTCCACGTGATGTTGGCCGACGAGCGACTGGACGAGGTGAGGGGGGGGCATGATGATTATCTGGACTGATGACATTTTTAAGTTTATTGAACGGCTCGTTAGTAGGGTCACAGGGTTTTACAGCTCATAGTCTGGAGAGACAGCTTGAGCCGTTTCAGAAAATGAGCATCCATAGTGGGCGTTACTGTTTTTTTAGGCCCTGGTGGCTCCTGTCGTGCTTGGCTAGTGGTCAGTCCGGTCTTGTGGTATGAAGATGTTGAACATCGTGGTTTGTTGGTAGGAATGCTGCTGGTCTGGCTCCGATACCCACCCTTCCCCAGCGACGTCCCACTGCGGACAGGGCTGGTTTCGCTTCCTGTAGGGGTGGCGTGACTGCAGGGGATTGTGGGAAGGGTGGGCGTGGCGGAGCCCGGCCCGACTGATGCTCGCGCTCCGCGGCTCTCCCCCTCTCTCCCGCGCAGGCCGACCAGCCGGGGAAGAAGGGGCGCAGGCGGAAGGAGAGCGACGGGGGGAAGGGCGAGGGCGGGCGGCGCCGGCGCAACGCCTCGGAGAGCGAGGGCGACGTGGCCCTGAAGAGGCTGAAGGGGGCCGAGGGCGGGGGCGACAGCGAGTGGGGGGAGGGCAGCCTGGGCACCTGGCGAGGGGGAGGAGGAGAGGGTAGCCCCAACACCTCAGCTGCCCCCCAGGGAACATCCCCGAGCCAGAGCTCCCCCGGTCCCTCCACCCACGTCTCCTCCCAGGGGCACCCCAACATACTGTTCGCCACCTACACTAAAGAGAACGGGCGCACAGTCGTGGTGCAGGACCGCCCTGTCTCTGGGGGCGACCCGTTGCCTGTCCTGAATCCCACTGCTGCCCCCATCGCTGTACCCCCGCCCTTGCCCAAACCTGCCCCCTCCCCCTTCTCCAGCACCTCTTTCCCCTCTGTGGGGCAGATGGGCAGTGCAGCCCCCACTGGTGCCCTCGCTCTCAAGAAGGAGAAGCCTTCTACAGCCCCCACACCTGAGAATGAGAGAGAGGGGGCAGTGGGAGGGTACCCCAGTACTGTGGTCCCGACCCCTGCCCCCTCTCCCCCTTCCTCTTCCTCTGGCCTGCGAGTTGTCGAAGGAGAGGCTACCAGCTCTGCGTCCGCTGCCCCCTCCAGCTACGGAGACCAGATGGCGCCCACCAGGGCAGTGACGCAGCCTGAGGTGAGCTGGGGGCAGTACAGGGAGAGGGGGGCTGCGGGAGAGGATCATGGGGAGGAAGGCTGGGGGGGCTGCTGGAGAGGATCATGGGGAGGAAGGGTGGGGGGGGCTGCAGCAGAGGATCATGGGGAGGAAGGGTGGGGGGGCTGC